AGTTTCTTTCAGATGGCTGAGCAGCTCAAACTGGCTGTGGGTTGTAAAGGGGGGTGAGGAGAAGAGAGAAGAGGAGAGGAGACGAGAGGAGAGGAGACTGTCTGTCCCTGTCTTTTCCTGTGCTGCTCTGTAGCCCCTGACAGCAGTCCCCTTGGCTGAGCCCTGAGGGGTAAGCAAGCCAGCAAAGAGAGAAAGAGAGAAAAAGGGGGAGAGAGGGAGTGAGAATGTGTGTGCGAGAGAAAGAGACAGAGAGAGAGAGACAGACATGATTGTGTCATACAAGAAATCCAAACAGGATGCCACTTACACTGAACACTGGCACTGCCCGTCCAAGCGAAGGGGTCCAGCCCCGCAAAGAAGGGGCTTGCCTTCCGCAGCATGCACGCACCACGGCTGGTGACATCATAGAGCTGACGGGGGCCCAATCCCAGAGCCTCCATACAGTCGAACATGGCAACCCCCCGCCCTCAGCAAAAATCACTACGAGCCCTCAGTCCTGCCTGCGTCCTGCCCTGCTTCCACTGCTCACGTCACTCGCTGAGGCAGTGACAACAAACCGCAGCAACAGCTAGCTGGATCTGCTACCTTCCCTTCCCTCCCTGCACTTATCTCTCACTGTCACTCTCTCTGCTGTCCTTTCCTGCCGATGCTGGAGTTTCCCTCTTTCCCTCTCAGCTGGAATGCAGATCTGGTTCCTGCCTGCCTGGCTGAGCTGAGCTGAGCTGAGCTGAGCTGAGCTGAGCGTGACTCTCACTCTCTTTTCTCCCCCTGCCCTTGGGTGAGCTGCTCCCTGTCTGCTGTAACAGACCTAAATAACAGCCTCTCACAGCTCTTGCTGAGCCCCAGACACGGCGGAGCGAACCAACTGCCTCGGCGTGACGCTCAGAGAGGGGGTGGAGAGAGCGAGCGAGAGAGAGAGAATGCAAGAGAGGGAGGGATAGAGAGAGAGGGACCCAGGAGGAGGTGGAGGGGGGGTGGGGAGGAGAGGGAGGAGAGGGGGCCGGCCAGCACTGGAGGAAGAACTGATCTGGTAAGAGGACAAAACTCTATTCCCATTCTTCCCCTGCTTTTTTGTCTGTGCTGCTTTTGTGTTTCATATTTCAGCTCCAAATGCAAACAAACACAGCCCCCCCCTTCTACTTGTCCCATTCAGATCTGGTCCCTGTCTCTGTCTTTACGTCGCACCTCCCCCAATTCCCCTGCAGTAAATATGAGCCCCTTCCCCTCCCTTCTCTGAGCCCCCGTCTCTAATCATAACCATATTAAAGTCCAGCCACTGGCCGGGTGAGTATGTGTGTGTGTGAGAAAGAGAGCCAGAGAGCGAGAGAGAGAAAGAACATTGTGCTGTGGTTGAACCCAGAAACCAGATGCCAGGGTAAATCCCTCCCTCCTCTCTGTCTGTTTGAGGGAACAGAGGATGGGCAGTTCTTTCTGTCTCTCCCTCTGGAAGTGCTTTAACAGTGATAAATGAGGGTTGCCTTGCTCAATCCCCACAGTGCATTTACACAGACAAATACCCCCAATATACAAACACACCATGTGCTGGACACACTTCTCACAGGTTCACTTGACCTTGTTTGTGATTTATCTCCGAGCAATCATCGCAAAGAAAGAAGAAATAAATAAAGACACAAGGATGCAGATGTGATGTGGTTTTGCAAGTAATACATTTTAACATATCAAAAGCCAGCTGAATGTATCATTGAGACTCACACCGCAAAAAAAACATTCGGCCTTCCACATTTAGCCTTCTTTAACATGGGCTGTACTGTGTGCAGCTAAAACAATTTAATTTAAAACATGGCAGTGCCCTCACAGCGACGGTAAATCAAAGGAAATCAATAGTCTGTGGTCAATAAAAAAGCCTGTCACTGGTCCTAACTGTTGCTCAGCAGACGAATAGACTCTGGCTGGGCTAAAGCAAACAGCCTGATACAATGGGAGATATATGATAATAGAATGGCTTTAGTCTGTGCGCCCCGCACATTCATCTCCCCCCGTCAGACCAGTACAAGTGGTACAGCCCAGCAGGCAAAAAAGACAACATTTCCTGTCAATCTGTGCTGCTGGCTACGCTCTCCATAAACACACAGTGCCCTCCTCCTTCCTCCCTCCCTCCCTCCTCCTCTTCTGTCAAACACTTCACTCTTTTTCCTGTCTCATGAAAGAAACCATGCTTTCACATTTTGAGCCATTTCGAATGATTTGGATTAAAATGTTTATTGACCTAAAAGCTTTACCTTCAGTTGAAACCTCTTGTTTATTTTCTTAAGCTGGCACACTCATGTACTCATACACACATCTGGGCTGATACTCCTCACGCACACGCGCGCACACTCACACACACACACTTAACAGCTCCTTTGTTGCATCAAACAGTAAACAACATTGGTGTTTTTATGTGTTTCTTCATACAGCTGTCAGGTCATAAAGAGGAAGCTTTATGACAGCAAGAATAGAACTGTGAGGCTAGATAACAAACTGTTATTTATCAAAGATGCCCCTGCTAACAGCTTGTTGTTAAAATTACTCTTTTTCTAACTCCACACCCATTTACACAATAATGTAAAAAAAGAGAGAGAGAGATCTGATCTGAATGCATTTCAGATTAAATCATCACTGCCCCGAGTCACATTTTTGTGATCCACAAGCATTCTTCTCACACTCATCTTTCGTCTCCTTCCTGTCTTGTTTTTTTTCCCTTCCAACTGCTAGTTTCATACAGCATCCTGGAAACTAAAAACTGGCTAATCCCCTGGTGTTCAAATGTTCTATCTAACATCACTGTTGTTTGCCAGGGCTGCTCTCTGGACCGGCAAGCCGCAACACAATCGATTTATAATATCAATGTGCTCACACTCGAAACTCTTTTGTTTTTGGAGATTTATGGACCTTATCCGACTCTCCTGGTTTTGACATTTCTTTTTACTGTATTTCAGACTATAATTCAGACCACTAACCCCAGGTTCTCTGCTTATTGGCACACAGCACAGTGAGCTGTGAGTCTTCCAGCGCTTCAGAGGGTTTGCGGAGTGAGTTTAGACATCTAATCTACACATACTCCATACTGCTGCTGACCCAGGCCGTTCCCTCCCTCCCCTCCCTCCTCCCCTTCCTTCCCCAGCCAGAGAGGTTGAACTCTAGAAGAAACCCCCACTGGGCCACTAACTTTCCCCCCAAACTTATCCTGCCCTCCCTCCTTCTCTCCCTCACTCTTTGGCTCACAAGTCTCTCCATCGCTCTCCTTAATTTTTTTTTCCCCCTCTGTTTCTGCAAATACTCTCCCCATTTCATCAAGTTCCCTATGGCCATTTCCCCCGACTGCATGATTTGTTTTAGTTGACAAAGTTCTCTGCTTTTAGAAGTATTTCATTTTCAGTGGCTGCCAACTCACTGGTCATTTTGTGTGACTGCTGCTTTCAATAATGTTTAATTGCGCTGATTAGACCAGACTTTTACACATAATAAATAAATACACAATATTAAAACGTTTTAATATTGTTAAATTAATGTTGATTGTATATCTATGATGTTTCATCTCTTTATCTATACAGTAGGTAGTAGTAGTAGACAGGTACGCTCAGACAGCTGGACCCAGTCTGCTTATAGCTCCACGTGGGCCAGAGCCTAGGAAAATCAGCCTTTACTACTGTCTGACACTCTGATGCCGATTACAGATAAGACGTATACAACACATTGTTGCCACTTCCTCTGTATACAGTCATTCAGGTTCCAGCCAAGCAGTCAACAACACAGTGGTGTGTGAGGCAATAAAAAGAGCTTGTTTTTAAATGCCTATGCGCTAAACGCAGCATGGTCATTTTGAAAGGAATGTAGAGCTTTTCCATTGCTGATGCGAGCATGTGTGCAGTGTGTGGACGTGCTGAAACAGATTGCCGGTGATGATAGAGACACTGAACACCAGTTCAGAGCGCCCTCCCACTACAGCCAGATTCAGGTTACACACACATACACACACACAACACACACACACACACACACACAACACACACCACACACACACACACACACACACACACACAAACAGATCCTATACAGGTTGTTTTAATAAAGGTGCTTACTAATTATTAACTAATTATATGCATGAACCCAAAAACATTTTCTGTCCTTAAAGTAATGTTTCATTTAAGTGACGGTGTGTTGTATTGTTTGTCAGTGAAAACAGAGTACAGTCCTTGCGTTCTTACTCATCTCATCCATCAACAGCTCCACCAGCCGCAGGTTTTACACATGTTCAGCTCTGACAAGACATGTAATCTTATCTACTCATCTGCCTCACTCTCTCACAATATATCTTTGGAAGATACCTGATGTGTCACTGATGGGAGACGTTGGGAAAGTGAGGCATGGCTTATGAGAGAGCCCATATCTCAGCAGCGACCACGTTGGCCTCTGTTCACATGCTTGTCCCACCAAAGGCCGAACAGAGCTACTTTTGAGAGCACTATCAGTCTTGGCCATCTTTCAACAAAGTCTTTTGCTCTGTCTTTTTCTCTCCCTCTATCTGCACTGTCATGACATTTTGCTACCCGTATTTTGTGGGGAAAAAAGACAGATCTTTTAGTTGTGCGGCCAAAAATACGAACCCCCCGTCTTGTTCTCAAAGGTCCGCCCTGTGCCTGTGTACCCTCCCACGCCTTCGGACAGCCCATCCCTCCTTTCTCGCCATTGCGCGCTCGTCGTCTTGCACGTGCCCACAAAGGCCCATCTGAAAACAGACCCCTCCCATTTTTAATAGTAGCCTCTTTATCTTCATCTGTCATCATGTCAGAGCTGTAGTACACTCTGTGGCTTCTCCCTTACCGGCAACCTATCCTGACTTTGTACACATGCAGGCATGCAAGCTCACACACACACATAATACACAAACACA